GGGGGTGGAACCGCATGCGGGCGCAGCCACTGGGGCCTTCGGTGGAGCTCCCTATGGGGCCACGAAACGTGTGAGAAGTGTGCCAAAATGGGGGGTGGAACCGCATGCGGGCGCAGCCACTGGGGCCTTCGGTGGAGCTCCCTATGGGGCCACGAAACGTGTGAGGGGTGTGCCAGAATGGGTGTGGGAGGGGGAGGAGGGGGGAGGAAGGGGAGGAGGAGGAAGGAGGAGGAAGGAACGCGGGTCGACGTCTCTTCAAAACGAGGACCCAACACCACAGGATGGTTGGGAAAAAAGGCCACGACTAAATGGCCCACAAACAAAGTCGGCAGGGCAACAAAACAAAATAGTCGCGACATGACTGGGATAAAATCCGCCGGCCCCCTTGTGGGGCCACCAGGCTGTAGGCACGGGTTCGCGGTTTCCTGTACCAGTTGTAGCTTGTAGTTTCCCGTGTTACAGTTCTGATTTTTCCTGGTTACTGACCGCGCGAGGGGGGGAGGCCCAAACATGACTTTTTAGCACCCCTTGGGCGCGTTGTCTGAATTGCTGCAAATCTACACCTCTCACGCAGATCCGCGGGGTCAGGGTCCAAAAACACAGGGGATTTGCCACATTTCTGAAATCGGTGCCACCCCTCACGCAGATCCGCGGGGTCAGGGTCCAAAAACACAGGGGATTTGCCACATTTCTGAAATTCGGTGCCACCCCTCACGCAGATCCGCGGGGTCAGGGTCCAAAAACACAGGGGATTTGCCACATTTCTGAAATTCGGTGCCACCCCTCACGCAGATCCGCGGGGTCAGGGTCCAAAAACACATGGGATTTGCCACATTTCTGAAATTCGGTGCCACCCCTCACGCAGATCCGCGGGGTCAGGGTCCAAAAACACATGGGATTTGCCACATTTCTGAAATTCGGTGCCACCCCTCACGCAGATCCGCGGGGTCAGGGTCCAAAAACACATGGGATTTGCCACATTTCTGAAATTCGGTGCCACCCCTCACGCAGATCCGCGGGGTCAGGGTCCAAAAACACAAGGGATTTGCCACATTTCTGAAATTCGGTGCCACCCCTCACGCAGATCCGCGGGGTCAGGGTCCAAAAACACAGGGGATTTGCCACATTTCTGAAATTCGGTGCCACCCCTCACGCAGATCCGCGGGGTCAGGGTCCAAAAACACAGGGGATTTGCCACATTTCTGAAATTCGGTGCCACCCCTCACGCACATCCATCGCAAGGCGTGGTAACCCAAACTGCGAGTACTCCCTCGGCCCTTTAATCCCAAGGTGTGGTAACCAAGCTCGTAAACCATGCACGTCTTACCAATCGCCCTGTATGGTAACCCCTCTTGTGATCAGTTGGTTTTGCCGATTGCGAATCGGCCTCGCATGACAGCGCCAAAGCCTCATGACTTAGCTCTTCCATGGCCCATTCTCCGAGAGAGGGGGCCGGCGGCAGGGGGCGAAGCCCTTACGGATATCTCGACAAAAATTATCCCGGACGGTGGGTGCATTGCGATTTAAGGGGATGGTGCTTTTTCGCGACACTCCCACAGGGAACTGTGCCGAGACTCGTTTTGCGACACTCCCACCGGGCCATTTTTTTGTCGCCGCGATGTTGTCGGCGACCTGTCCGAGCCTTCTGATAAGGCCAGCTCCTTTTCACTTCCCCCCGGGCGCGCCGCCGACCACACCTACAGCGGCCGTTTTTGGACAGGCGCTGCTGCGGCGACGCCGACAGCGAGAGCAAGAGGCACGTGACATGTCTTCGAAGCAGCAAAACAACAACCGAAAGTTGTTTTAATAATGCAGCTCGGGTAACGGGCCGAGTTCAGGTATCTCTAAACTGCAGAGCGAAGCTCTGTTTCAAGCCTGCGCCCCGCGAGCGACAACCATGTTTCAGAGGCGTTTGCAACAACGCGGCGTTGACAACAAACGTGCTCGTCCCCAAAGGCGCCCATGCACGCAACCGTGGGGAGGCGGAACCAGCAGAAGCATCCTCGGCACCCTCCAAAGAGCCCCAGGAGAGCCCTCGAGAGCCCTCGAACGGCCCCAGGAGCGCCCAAAAGCGTGTCAACAACGCCCCACAGGAGTATACTGAGGCAATTTCGAATGGTATCGACGGGCGGCTCTAAAACCCTTCCTTGTCTTATCGATCTCATTCAAGACAGCCCCAGGAGGCTCCAAGTTGGCGGAAGATGACCTCCAACGCGCCTCCAGAGGGCCACAAGATGACTCAAAGAGAGATCCAACATCGCCCCAGGGCGGCCCCGCGAGCGCCCGTGAGCGCCTTAAGAGGGTCCAAGCGGCGACTTGGAACTCCAATATAGCCCCAAATGGTTTCATCAGCTTCTCAGAAAGCCCAAGATGACCTCCACTATGGCTCCATTTATCCGAATATGGATATACACATCTACATGGATTAGTGCATGCTACGGGACGATCCCAGACCGCCCCTGCTTCAACTCCAAGTGGCAACGGAATCCCCTGGGCGCAGGTGGTCTAATCTAGAGCGGTGTCTTCAACACCCCCCCCCAAACGGGCCCTTCGGGGAGCGGTTCACCGCCCGAAACACTTCCACGACGGCAAGCCCGACGTCGGGCGGCACATCAACTTCCAAGGCATGGCCTTCCATCGGTTCCAGGGTCGCGAGGCGTGCTGCGCGTGGCATTTTCTCGGAACCGCTCGGGGGGCGCAGGGGGCGTTCCCTGAGCGCAGCTTCCATCTGGCCTAGGGCTGCGCGGCGCGAGGGCATTTTCTAGGCACCGAAGGTGATGCGAAGAGGGATCGTCCTTGAGCGCGGAGGATGCAGGAGTGGAAGGGATGCAGGAGGGCGGGCAGGATGGGGGCGAATAGGACGGGGAGGGGGAGGCGAAGGATGAAAAGAAGAATGGTGGGAGGGCAGACGAGGGAGGTAGGGGCGGAGTGTGGGCAGGTGAGGAAACTAATGTGAAGGGGGAAGGGGGGGGGACGAGTCTGAAGAGGAGGCGGAAGAACTAGGAGCCGCCTTGCGGCGTCTGGGGGGATTGTTGAGCCGTCTTGAAATCATCTCGGGCCGTGTTTGGGGCCATTTGAACTGAAATGGGCTCCTCTTGGGGCGCTCTTGGAACGCTTTTGGGCGTTTTTGAAGCCGTCGTGGGGCCCTCAAGGGCGCTCTTGGGGCTGTCCTGAAGCCTTGGAAGGCCACCGGAAGCGAAAAGGCGAGAAGGCGAACAGCATTGATTGTCCAACAATTTTTGAACGATGTTGCCCTCTTGGCGGCCTTCTGGGGAGGCCCCGGGACCACTCGCAGCAGTCTTGCAGCGGGCGTCGTGGCTCTTGGAGCATTTAAGGAATCATATTCAGCCATCTTGGGCTATCTTGAGCCGTCTTAGAGGTCATCTCGGGCTCTCTGAGGCCCTCGTAGAGCCATCTTGGCCCAACTTGGACGCTCCAACGCCTCGCGACCCCCCCCAGGTCCAGGGATGGGGGTAGGGGGAGGGCCCGTGCGCTACGGTCGTGGGACCTGTGCCTTCGGTGTCCAGGCGAACGTAGAAGATGCAATACAATGGTTTGACATGCAGCGGCGCAGGGCATGGCGCAGCGTGGAACGCCACAATTTTGGCAAGTGGCATGCGACATGCGCGGCGTGACACGCACAATGACGAATGCGCGGTACACCTCAGAGACATGAACGGAAAGATGTGTTTGGCCAATGGCAGGGGACACGCGAGAAATTACGATAAAACGACTCACGCGCTTCATGGGTGCCTGTGGGCCCCACTCCCCAGGCCAGAAAGCATAAGCGATGGCGCCCACCTAGAACACGAACGACAGAAACATTGACACAATATAGAAATAGTTCGTCGAAGCCTTGATTTTGTTTCCTGCTATGGGCAAGACCGGAGATATCACGCAACGAAAGCAGGTGCCACCGGAGGCGCGAGGGGCAGCGGGCCACCTGGGGCGCCGATTCCGATCCTGCGCGCCCTTCCACGCAGAGCCACGACGGCCACGAAGCACGAATCGCCCTTTTCCACGACCAAGCACGGCAGGGATGCATGCCGTTACGCCTTGTGCTATGGCTTCTGACACCGCGTGGAGCTTTCCTCCTTGAACGATCGGCGGCTGTCGATCGATAGTTCGGAATCGGCCGTCTCCGGGCGACCGTCGGCGCTCAGCCTTGCACTCCAGCGCCGGGCCTGCCGCCGCGCCGACAGGACGCGACCCTGCCGCACGCGTCATCTGGTTGCCATCCCGCCACGGAGCGCGAGGGGCCGCGCGCCGACTCCGAGCACGGCTGCGCTCACGCACGCGCGCGGCCCGAGAAGGCCGCAAGGCACACAAAGGGCCACGGCTGTGCCCGCCTGCGGTGGTGGCCCGTGTGCGGTGCCGCGTCGAGGAGCCAGCTGGCCCGCGCCGTGCCCTGAAGGGCCGCGAAATTTCCACCGCCGAGGCCGCTGCCCGTGCCGAGGGCCCCGCCGAGTGACGTGCCGATCGCGCTGCCCGAATGGAAACACTGGGGAGAACTGGCACGGGCTGGAAAAAATGAAGGGCTGGCCACAGCAACTGTCCCGCTTCCTGATAATCAGGGAGCCAACACATTTATCTCTGACTCGCATGACGGCATCCGCGAACAACCGCGCGCTAATAAATACGCGATCGCTCGTCACCCCCACGCACACACACACACACACACTTGCACATACCGACTGCCAGAGAGAATTACGCGTATGGCCACAGACTCCAACAGGCACCTTGGCGCACAGATCCATGGGCACGAGAACAGAAACACAATCTCAAACATGCAGACGCACATACGACCTTGTTTTGGTTGAGAAATCAAAAAATGTCATTCAGCCCACACACAGATACCACTCACTCACGCACGTATTCATGTGGCTTCCCACACGCACACACACACACACACACACACACACACACTGGAGCACACAGGAACGAATGCCATAACATAGGATTATCCGACGCTTCGGCGCGCATAGCTGCAGCCATCAAACTTGTTCGTCTCGGTGGTGACTTTCTTGATCTCCTTTTCAGGATCCTGACCCATGCCACTGGCGCCAGCCGCACCACCGCCTGACAAGACTGAGAGTTAGCAGTGCTTACAAATCCCGCCACCATCCTTCTTGGCCGTCCGTGACCCGAAGTCTCCCGAAACTCTTCCGCCGATCCCTGTCCGAGGTTCTCACTTTCGGGAACCCAGACAATTTCAGGACACCTTTTGGCATTCCTTCAGCTCCTGTCCTCCTCATTTTCCTCCTCCTCCTCCTCCTCCTCCTCCTCCTCCTCCTCCTCCTCCTCCTCCTCCTCCTCTTTGTCCTCACCATCCTCATCCCTGGTCCTCCCCCTGCCTACATATGGTCCTGTCCATCCTGCCATATATATATATGTATATATACAAATATATGTGTATATATGTAAGTATGTAAAGGGAGAGTTCCTCCTCGTCTTTGTGGACATCTTTACTTCGAGACCAAACTAGAGCAGGCCGCAGCATTCAGGGCCAACCACACCAGACAAAACAAATCTGATATAACCCCTCTGTAATCCGGCGTACTGACACAGTGGACGCATAGTAGAAAACGTAATCGGAACCCTGGACCTATCTTCTGCGGCAATTTTGAAACCTCAGGGCCTGACACCAGGCAACATCGCCTGCTGTGGACACGTTGCAACGACAAGAGCACAGGGCCAGACCAGAGGCCAGCTCATGCACGGTTTGGTCAGACCAGACCAGACAGACGAGGCCCGACCAGGCTGTACCAGGTCAGACCAGGCCACTGGACCAAGACCAGGCCAGAACAGAAACAACCAGAGGGAGGATGAGGAGGAGGACCGGATTTTTGTTCAAAGGGAGGATGAGGAGAAGGGGGATGATGAGGAGGAAACGCTGTTTCTCCTCCTCCACCGCTGGTTCCAGGCTTTAACGAGGGTCCAGAAAGCATGCGAGACTATTGCTGAGACTCGTGGGATTGGCCCGCCATCCGTTTCTGTGCGTTTTCCACAATGATGTTTTTCTCACGCCTATCATTTGTGCAATTGCCTATCTCTCAGCCTCGGAGACCGCAAGCTGTCGTTGAGCCTCTTCGGCGGCCTTCTTATTTACCTGCGCCTCAGAGATAATATGCTGCACGTGCGCGCTCGAAGCCCTCAACTGCTCTCGATCCTGTCTCTTTCTTTCCGCCCACTCTTGAGTCGCGAAATGATGGCAGTTGTGCTCTTCCATCGTGATGCACTCATCACAAAGCCACGCTCGGCTACACTTGGAACAAACATTCGAACATTGAGAGCACACTGGCCTTCGACATGCACCCAGCGGTTTGCGCGCTTCCCCAAGGCACCGATTCAACGCCCGAGCGGGGCACGTTGGCCCGGCGTTCCAGCAGCCCTCCCGCATCGAGAACCCGCTGGCAGTTCTATTCGATGACGTTCGCGGCGAATCAAAAGCATTAGACCCTCTGGAACTGGAACGCCCGGCCTTGGGGACATTACTGGAGCGTCCCCTTTCGCTGCTTAGGGTAGGCGCGTGTTGTTCTCTCGCTCTTACGCCACTCTTGATGGTGTCAACGTCCATGCTCCTTACCAGGTCGTCTCTTTCGCTCTGTATTGCGATCTCAGCAAGTTCTGGTACTCTATCTCTGTTTGTTCTGGATAATGAGAAATCTGGTCTGTAAAAACCCTGCGTTAAGGGCGAGATATTCAAGTCGCCATCCTCACCCTTCGGCTCCTTCGTGCGCGGATGGAGAGTCATGCCTGTAACGTCTCGCGTATTTCTCACTGCGCGCACTGCTTCGGGGTAGCTCGATATCGGCTGTGCCGATGAGCAGTCACCTTGATTTGGGCTTTCTCCGTCTTAAAGTCATCGTCCGAATCAAGGATGGCTTTCTGACTTGCCTCTATCATTATACTGTCAGGAGCGAGACCGACCCGCAGATCACGAAGAGGCTCGAGATGACGCGACGGACCAGGCGAGGTGTGGAATTGGGCAGATGCCTCGTTCATGTCTATCGAGTGGGAACAATCCCCTTCAGGTTGTAGATCGCTCACATCCTCACTCTGCCAATGCAGCGCATATTGCACGGCGTGCTCGGCGCCGACGCTTCCGGCGCCTGATGTTTCGATGGGAATATGGTCCGACAACTTTTCCACGTCGAGATCCACGTCGACCGATGGCTGAGAGCCAGGAGCGTGCCGACACCCACTCAGAGGGTCCCTCGGCGGGAAGTTTCGCTGTGGCATACCTTCCGCTCGAGTGTTCTCCTCTGGATCTGATAACTGAATCAACCGATGAATCCCCTTCTAGCATGTCGAACATAGTTTCTGCTGATTTCTTACTCGGAAGGTTCAGAAAATGTTGTCGCCTCGTTGAAGCGCATATACCTCCGTTGAGCTCGGAAGGTCTCCGATCTTCTGTTCGCCCGCGCGCTCCTTCTTGAGATCCCATGCTCTGCGATGCGAACGGCTGCGCCGTCGCGTCGGCAGATAACAAATCTTTTGCCTGGATATAAGTAATCCCTGCAAGATGTTCCGATGATATCTGATGGTCACTGGGCTCCGCAGATGACATGGGCAAGAAAGGATAGCGCCGCCCAGCATACGCGAAGGCAACGCTGGAGGGAAGAGGCCGGCCCGCCGGCCGACGCGCGCGCGCGCCGCAAGCTCGCTCCACTTCCGCCCCCCTAGAGCCAAAGTAAATATGGCTGCGGGGGCAGAAGAAGTCAATCAGCACAGCAGACGGACAGCGCGTGCAAGGAGAGAGGGCAGGCAGGGCGAAATAATGGTGGTGCGGAAGGGGTGCATTTACTGAAGTTGCTCATCTTGTCCTTCAGGAAGCACTTGATCCTGTGGGCCCGTGCTCGCAGCATCTTCTTGAAGTAGCGGTTCCAGGAGGCCCAGGCGTGGAACTTGCGGTTCGATTTCGCGAGGTGGTTCACTCTAACGCGCAAGACGCGTTGCATCTCCGAACGAACCACCAAGCTGTAACGGAAAGTCGGCAGTCCCTGCGCGGGCTCCAGCACCTCTACGACGTTGGTCTCGATTTCCCCGAATTCGCGAGAAAGAACGAATGCGTTTTCTGCCTCGCCTCGTTGCCTGATCAACGCCTTCCTGGTCTGGGGCAGCTCCATGTGCCGCTCTAGCTTGAGCCGCTGAGACTGACTCATTGCGCTTGTCGTGGCCCGCCGCCTGCAGATTAATTATCTTGGTCCGCCGAAAAACAAAACCACCTTCTATATGCTCTTTTTCGTCCGTCACCCTATTCTGGCGACGTAGCTCCGCCTCGAGGTTTTGACTGGTGGCCATCAAGAGCGCTGCGCGCCCTCTGAGACGATGCAAATTTGGGACTGATCCGGATGGCATCCATTCCCTGGGAGCGGCTTCAGGAAGCTCGAGGCGGCCCGCGTGCTCGTCGATGGTCTCGTTGCACTCGTCCACCTTGCGCGCCTCGTCTCGGTCTCGCCCCGGCGCTTGCTGATCTTCTCGCTCCAACGCTTCATCGTCTCTTCCATGCGCCCCACGGTCTCGGGCAAGAGGCCCCGCGGGTCGGCGCCCCCCATGGGCCCCAAGTTCACGGCGTCGCTCTCGTCGCCCTCGCTGGGGGGCGATGCCGCGGCCCTTCGACTGTAGACGTTCCAGGGCGTGAGCTTTCCGCGCGGCGGTGGGCGCGCGCTGCTCGTCGCGCGTCTCCTCGTCGATCTCCGCGGTCACCAGGGCGCCCTGGGCAAGTCCCCTTCCAGAGTCCTCTGAAGGAAGTCCCGAGGTCCCTCTCGCACTTCATCTGCTCTCTTCTCTTCTTGGAGCTCATGAGAGATAGACGCGCGGGGGTGGCCAGGGGCCGGCGCGGCCGGCGCTGGGCCCTCGGCGGACGAAGCAGAACAACCTGGCACGTAGAGAGCTTCCACGGCCAGCCAAGGTGCCATCTGCCGTTGCAGCCGGAGATCCGCATGCGCTGGCCTCCTCTTCGTCCACCGCGTCGCTGTGTCCCACGCAGTCGTAGAAGAGGTAGTCCTCGTCGTCGCAGTCGAAAACGACCTGCCCACCATGCCCCCCCCCCTTGAAGCTGGGGAGTCGAAAGGGCGGATCAAAGGTCCAGGCGCCCGTTCCTCGGGCGGCGCGGCTCCGCGGGCAGGGGGGGCCCCGGCCACGAAGCCGAGGTCGCGTGCTGTCAGCGGCGGCAAATCGCAACATGCTGAAGCACCTACTTCACGACGAGGGCAAGAGAGGAAGCCACGCGTCGAAAGAGCTGAGACAGCAGCATGCTGACTAGAAGGAGGCAGAACGCTTCGGACGCGCAGTGGGGGGCGCACGGGATGAGGCAAGGTTCGGCGAAGGAATATAATTCTACATATTTGGTCGCGCATTGCGTTTCCCGGAAGCCAGCCGATATGTTGTCCTCCGTTAAGTTTTCCTCTTTGTGCCCCGGTACTGCGTAACTTAGCCGCCTGCATATGTTGCACGAGAAGTTGTGCGTTTCTTTCCAGCTTCGTCAAACCATTCGCGGGGTCATGTTCGCAGCGACGCTGACAACCGAGGTTCCCTAGGGAGTCCCGGATCACGGTCGCTCCGTTCTCGCTCCTCGGTCGAAGCGTACTGTTCCCGATTGATACAATCGCATAGAGATCTGGCACCGGTCATGGAGATGATATCCAAACCAAAGCTTCACTCCATGATCGCCGCGACTCCGGTATCTCGGTTCAGGACATATCGGTCTCGGAGTTTGCGTCGAGAGCCCTCCGCGATGAGAGCCCACGAAGTAAGCCGCGCGAATTCAGCCAAAGCCTCGGGCATGGCGTTGGCCTGCACCACCAGGGTGGAACTCCCTGCGCGCTCGGACTTGTGGGAATGCCTCGTGGGGATATTGACATCGGCTTCTTTTCCCAAAAAAGAAGCCTTCGTCTGCCGCGCAGATTGCGCGGCCTGTCCGAGAGCGCCATTGCCCGGCGCCCTCGAGACCTAAACCAGAAGCGCACAGAGGGACCAGTCGGAGACGAGAAAAGGGGTATAGTCTTGATGGTGATCGTGGCGCTGGCGTCCTTGAGGCGTCGAAACGCGGCATCTGCCTCGACGGGGCATGTCAC